ACTGTACTGAAACAAACTTGCGCTGCGTAAGAAGCTCAGGAATCTGCACGCCAAATCTCAATAGCCTAGCTCCCATAGTTTCCGAGATCTCAGCGTTCAGCCGGACAGACAGACGGAGAGACGGACATGGCTAGATCGACTCGGCTAGTGATCCTGATCAAGAATATAATACTTTATGGGGTCGGAAACGCTCGGAAACGACGAATCTAGTATACCCTTTACTCTACGAGTAACGGGTATAAAAATGTTTACTAATTTTTGTTACAGAATAAATTGTAAAAATTAGTTAAAACAAAAAGAGCTTTTTTTATCTTTATCTTCTTTAAATGTATACTCTTTCTCACTCTGTGCAGTGGAAGCTACCACCAGTCCACTTGTGTGGAAAGACTAGAGTCAATTAGTTTTGTTTTAGTTTGCTGGCCTTACTTCTCTTTAAAATAAGAGGGAAACAATACAAAATTTTCTTCATCAGGGGTGGTGTGAAAACGAGGAAGTCCTAAGAGCCATACACTCGGTGATTTTTTGAAGTTTGTGAAGGGTTTGTGGGCGTTAAAGTGGGCGTGGCAAACTTTTTTTTGGGTTAATCGATAGGTATTGATGAGGACAATACATTTCAGTTAAAATTATTGTTCTAGCATCAAAACTGTAGGAGCCACAGTTTTGGGCGGATTGTGAGCGTTAGAGTGGGTGTGGAAAACTTTTTTTTTGGGTTAATCGATAGGTATTGATGAGGACAATACATTTCAGTTAAAATTTTTGTTCTAGCATCAAAACTGTAGGAGCTACCAAACAAATTTGCGCTGCGTGAGAAGCTCAGGAATCTGCATGCAATCTCAATAGCATGCTTATATTTCCGAGATATAGGTTCATCCGGACAGACAGACAGTCGACATGGCTAGATAGACTCGCTATGATCTGATCAAGAATATATATACTTTATAGGGTCGAAAAGGCTTCCTTCTGCCTGTTACATACTTTCCGACGAATCTAGTATAGCCTTTTACTCTACGAGTAACGGATATAAATATTTCAATGATTTTTAAACGATGGTATTCAGACAAATCATGTTAAGAAGGCGTACACTGTATTTCAATACAGTGTACCAAAGAAATAGAGCACAAGCAAGTAGCTTAGAAATTCACAAGTTACGGGCGTACTAAATTTATCTATTTATAGCTGTTTTCCCGCTTATCTAGCGAGTTTTTCCGAAGGGTTAGAAGTAACATTCTTATTTTGAGCTGTTTAACATCGTCAAACAATTTTTAGGCCATTAATATAAAGTTTGGATACGAAAATAAAGTTCAGTTCCCAGGCAGTGTTAGAAGTTCTGTGGCAAATTTAGTTGATTAATAACTTTAAAACGTAACGATTTCCAACAACGTTTCGTATGTCAAAAGTTGGGGAATTTTAAGGGCTATACACTTTGGAAACTAACTTAAAATCGTTAGAGCCGTTTTAGAAAAACCTAAAATATTTAAACAGATAATGTTAAAAGGCGTACAAAGTATTTCAAAATAGCTTTCTAACGACTTATAGCACTAGCCTGTAGATTCAGCAGTTAACAAGTACGAAATATAGCTATTTATAGCTGTTTTCCCGCCAAACTAGAGAGTTTTTGCAAAAGTGGTAAAACTAAAATTTCTTATATTAAGCTGTTAAGCATCGGCTACAATTTTCGGGCCCTCTTTGGGGCCGAACAAAATAAAATTTTCACTTTGAGAAGTCCCTCAAAATATTGTTTTGATTATTACTTTTGAACGGAGTATCCGATTTAAGCAAACGAGGTGTCATTCGACCCGTATTTTAAGTGAGAATACAACTAGTTTAATGAACTTGTGCGATTATCTCCAGTGGCCCCAACAGATCAAATTTTCGAAATTTTTACTTTTGCACTTTCACCGCTCTTTATCCCAAACCAATTGTCTTCTTGGTTTCTTGGTTCTATTAGTTTTTGCGATGTTTTCGACTGATGTATCACTCGTAACGATCGGACGACTACAGTTGATTTTCATTTCATCGTTTATATATAAAGTCCCCTTCGCACACTTTCCTTGTGCGCTTCGTTACTACGATGACTGCCGTCCACAGTGATATATTTGTCTCTTCCTATACTTATAATGAATGAGGCGAGGAATAATCGCATGCGTTCCAAGACGTTTAAAGGCTCCTTGGTTCTGCTTCAACAACATAGAGTAAGAATCTTTATAGAGACACCATTTGCTCTGCCGCTCTCTTTTTAGACTTTGCCAATGATACCACCCAGGCGATGGGACCTTGTTATTCGTTCCCGCGGTGAGTTTTGTTGGAAATTATATACCTGCACCGCTCTTACTCTTTATTGTTTTCGTAATTGATCCTCACCACTATTGCTGTTGCTTCGAACTTGTTGGGCGTGTTAAAAAATTGAAGTTAGCTTCAAACTTGACCTTGAATTGACTCTCAGCAGAGGTTGGACAGAGGTTCGGGCATACAAATGGTGTCTCTATATAGATTCTTACTCTATGGCCACGACCACTCTAACGCCTATAAAAGCCCGTAACGCTAGAACCCACATTTCTTTATATTTTTGAATAATTTAAATGAGGTTTTGTTTTTATTATTAATACCACCATACATGCGAAAAATGATTGAAATCAAACCAATCATTTAAATTATAACCAAATAATAATCAACATTTTGCAATTCAATGAAAATTGCACACCACATGCATTAAATAAAGTGTTTTCACTAATACGCAACCATGCCGCTAGGGGCGCTATGGGCTAGTTGGTGTTATGAGCTATGTAGCGTTAGGTGGATCTAGCTACAAGCAAGCATATCTCCATCCCTCTCGCACTCGCTTTAGCTGAGTAACGGGCATTTAATAGTCGATTGGGTTTTTTCTTGTTTATTCTGCGGCTATATATAGAAGTCGCCTTCGCACACTCTTTTGGTGCGCTTCGTCCCTACGTGTGCGCCGTCCACACTGATATTCTTGATCAGAATCACTAGCCGAGTTAAAGTAGCCATATTCTACGAGTAACGGGAATGAAAAAAGGCAAAAATTTAAATAAAAACTTTTTTATCGCATTTTAAGAAAATATTTATTAATTTTATAGCTATGTTTTCTAGAAAAGGCAATCCAAAAATTTAAGAACATTTTTACTTATATAAATGACCAGTCGCTAATGGATAAAAAAAAGTTTTTTTCTGATTGTACATTATATTTCATTAGTTCGCTGAGTAACGATAACGATGATAGTTGAGGCACTCGATCAGCGCTAATTTTTGCTTTTATCAAATAAAACCATTGGGCATCCATTATCAAGCAATCTGAGCCAATGTATTAATTATATGTCTTAAGCTTTCTGTAGTCTTAATTATTTAATTGAATCTTTGAGTGTATATCTCCGTGGTCCATAGTTGGCGCCATAAGTTTTAAGCATGTTAATTTCTAACACACAAACAGGCATGGAAAAGAAATTAATGGAATTCGAAGTATGAACGGGGAACAATTGCAAACAAATAACATTTTGTGCTCTATCCAAAGATTGAGCCAATTTGCGTAACTCCGTAGGAAATAATACAGTTAGAGAGGAACGGCAGGAGTTTCTGATGCACAATTTGCACTTTGTTGCACAGTTCACACACGAACGGATAGATTGCATAATCTTTCGGCTATAATTCGATATCGCAGCATTTGCGCACTCGTAACAGGTCGGGGATAAAACGCACGCAAAACATTTATGTTTTGATAAGTCTTCAGTCATATGTATGTATATCAAAACATCAGAATCATTCACATAGCAAGACAAGGATGCGTATTGATAAAAACATAAAGAGTTGTCTGCGGCAGCAGAAAATTGCTTCTAAAAAGAGGAGTCTTAAACCTATATCAAAACAAGAAAGGAAGTTAACTTCGGCAAGCCGAAGTTTGTATACCCAGTTAGAATTCTTAAATTTAAAAATACAAAAAATGACATTCCCAATAGTATAAGATAATATAACAAAAAACACCGAAGCTATATTTTGTTTCATATAATTTTCCCACCAATTTTCCGATCGTTCCTATGACAGCTATAAGATATAGTCGTCCGATTTTGATAAAAATAAATTCGAAGCTCAGAACTAATTAAAAAATGTTATTTTCACGCGTAGGAGGTTTTATGTTTCAAAACACCGAAGCTATAATTTAATATTATTTTCCCACCAATTTTCCGATCGTTCCTATGGCAGCTATATGATATTCGTCCGATTTTGATAAAATTTAATTCGAAATTCAAAACTAATTAAAAGATGTTATTTCCAAGCTTAGGAGGTTATATGTTAAAAAACACCATAGATATCATTTTTTTTATTTTTGGGAAAGTTTCAGTCCGATGGCTATAAAACAGAGAGACTAGTGTGCGTAGAAACGGACGGACAGACGGACATGGCTAGATCGACTCGTCTAGTCATGGCGACCAAGAATATATGTACTTTATGAGGTCGGAAAACGTCTCCTTAGCTGCGTTGCAAGCTTCTGAATGAAATCAATATACCCTCTGCAAGGTTATAATGAACAATTTTTTCAAACTTTAATTATAATTATGCAACCATGTTTAGTCAAATTAAATCTGCTTTCTCTTCGAATGAGTCAACAGATTTAATAATTGGGTCATCGGAAATTAAAGTTATTTATAAAATTCATAAAGCCACAACCCAAAATCCACATGCTGACGCCATTCCTAATGAGACTATCGTGTGATTAATGCACATTGCGATTTAAAATTTTGCGCCGCACATATTCGTCAAATTTGACTGGTCATCAACAAATAAATATATCGACCATCATGAACACGACAAATGCGAAATGGATTGGTCAACAAAATTTTACCGTGAGGTCTCTTAACATTTGTTTATATGTATCTATGTATTCCATATGACTTCCGGCTAGACGACTCTTTTAACGTGGACTTCACTTAAACTCCAAGTTTGTCTTTTGACGCAGTGCTTTGCAGAGCGGTTACAGCTCGAAAGCTTTAGGGTTTTTGGTAACTTAAAAACGTAAGCTACTTTGTAAAAATCCGTCGCTTACTGGTCGGTCTTCTTTCACATTTTCATGCGCTTTGAGTAGCATTTGTGGTTTCAGTTTCATTTAAACTTTTTGTCTCATCATCTCTACTTTTTCGTAAGCGACATCTTCGACTCAGCGGCATATAAGTCTGAGCGTCCATTGATTAGCATTTAGTTGAATTTTGATTGCCAAGGGAAATGCATTTCTTCATTGTAAGCTCTCGGACGCCTGCCCAATCTGAATAGAGTAATGAAGTCTTTTTATAGGTGTCGTGTCTCCTATGCCTTGCTACGGCGGTTCCCCAAGGATACAACTACCAGGCCCAGCAAAAGGTGCAGTCGCAGGGGCAAGTAGGTCAACCACATCCACTGTCCATTCCACAGTTTGCTAACCTTGCGGAGCATTCGCTTCTGCAGCAGGCGCTGCAGGCTCCAAAGGTGCAGCACGTCTTATCCGGAGGAGAGGTCACCACACCTTACTCCACACTCCATCAAAACCAGGATTCTGCTTACCAACAGCAGCCTACGCAGCTTGTCGGAAATTTAGCATACAATGCGTTGCCCCAGTCATATCAGCCGCAGCAGCAGCAGCATCTCGTCTCCAAGGACATCTATGTACATGTGCCACCCGCAGAAGAGCCGGAGGACCGCTATCCTCAGCCCAACCTTCCGCCGGCACCGGCGCGCAAACACTACCGCATCGTGTTCATCAAGGCACCGACGCCAAGCGCCACCAAGACGGCACTGCGCATCAAGCAAGCTCCTGTGGAGGAGAAGACCATTATCTACGTGCTGACCAAGAAGCCCGACCCGCTTGACCTGCAGGCGGCCATCGAGGAAATCGCACCCAAGCAACCTAGCAAGCCAGAGGTGTTCTTCATAAAGTACAAGACCCAGGAGGAAGCTGCGCATGCGCAACGCACAATTCAAGGTAAGCAACACCCACATCAATCAAATCGTACAACTCACTCATGATCGCCTCACGATTATGCGTGTCTCTTATTGCTCGAATTTTTGTGGGCTCCATAGAGCAAAATCCAATTTGACATAGCCTATTTTGCATGTAGCATTTCGCTGACGGAGCCGGATTTGTCGAACATGTTGTTCGATTCCATTGTTTAGGGTTTTTCATCAAAATCTGCCGCATCACTAACGATGATTCGATCTTCTTTCAGCTCAATATGACCAGCTTGGAGGCACCTCTCAGGTATCCGACGAGGGTGTCGCACCTGTTACGTCAGTAATTGGCGTTCTGGACCACCAGGGCACCAGTGGAGTTTCTACCGGAAAGTTTTCAGGGGCCTTGGTGAACAACTACTTGCCCGTCAATCTGCGTACTTAAGCAGATAAACTGTCGTACTTTTAAGTAGTCAACTTTTGTATATACTTGTGTTTTGTTAAGTAAAGTGAATAATTGGCACACTCCGATGAAAATAATATAAAACGTTAGCCATTTTCAAATAAATGAGATTGGAGCAAGAGGAACACGCGTTTGGATAAAAAATATTTTTAAATTACTTTGGCCCATATTACCACACTCATTAGTCCAATGAACGATAACAACCAGGAGCAGCGGAGAAACCGGTCGCATAAATTAGCGGTTTGTCTTACATAACAAAGGTTAAGCAACATAAAAACTTGAGTATTGGGGCAGCAGCTAACTGATTAGCAGGTCTGTGTAATCTTTTCTATAAGCTTAACAAAATAAAAGTAAGAAATCATATACTTTTACAAAACAAGTGCAATACAAAGTAAATAAAAATCAAAATAAATTCAAATGAAAAAATAAATAAAGCCAAATCTATATGTATTTCTCCTCATTACATTTTTTGTGAACACAGCATTACATTTAACGTTTGAATTTTCGAAATATTTTATTTTACGTACGACCACTCTGAAGACATTTGAGTTTCACTAAATATGTTTCTTTATTTTTCTTGACTTTCGCATTTGAAATAAATTAAAATGAGCTACAGTATGGTGAATAAAAGCAAAAATGGAAGCGATAGTATGTGGAGTAGGTAAAACTCATTTGAAAGCCTTAACTGGCACATACTTCCTGGAAGGAGCCGAGGGTGCAAACGATGCGGTAGACTGTTGCACAAAGGAGCTCTGCTGCTGAATGCCCTGGCTCAAAACTGGCAACTGAACAGTGGGCACCTGGGACTGCTGGGGCCCAAAGCTCTGCAGGTTGAGGGAACCACTCGAAACGCTGGTGATGGGGGCCACGCCCTCATCCGAGATATGAGTGGCACCGCCCAGCGCGTCGTACTGGGCCTGGATCTCCTGCTGGGCGCGCTGGGCCTCTTCCTGGGTTTTGTACTTGATAAAATAGACCTCAGGCTTGTGAACCTTGGCCTCGGACTGAGTGACCTGCAACTGCTGCTGGATCTCTGTAAGATCAGGCTTCTTGGAGAGCACATAGATGACGGTCTTCTCCTCATTGCTGGACTGGGCCCGCTTTAGTGCGGCGGCGGTGTACTTTAGGTTTTGGGACGGCGCCTTGATGAAAACAATCCGGTAGTTCTTGCGGATGGGGACGTTCTCCAGCTGTGGCTCGTCTTGCCGAAGCTCCTCAGTCTCCTCGGGAGCGGAGTGGATATAGATGTCCTTAGTCACGATCGCAGGTCGTTGGACGTACTGGGAGTGAAGGATTTGCTGCGGCTGCTGCTGGTAGACGATCTGCTGAGGCTGCTGCTGCAACACAGTACTGATCAGGTTTTGCTGGGGCAGTGAACTAATGGCAGGCTGCTGTGGTAGGCCGATTGGTAAAGGAGCAGGAATAGAAGCAGGAGCGATGGTCTGCACAGCTTGAATGGGTGCTTGCTGGCCGTGGACATTGATCTGAGTTGATACGGGGGCACCTGCATATATTCCACTTGCCGACACGGGTGTCTGGGGACGAAGGTTGCCGATGGGAAGGACAGGCACCTGGGGCTGGTACTTGTATCCCTGAGGCACTGCTACTGTGAGGGCCACCAGGCACTGTAAGGATAATATCAGGCGTTACAACTGCGTGTGAGTTTTTTTCACATATCCAATTTCTTACCATTAGAACGACAAGATGCTGCATTTTGACTTTGAACTGCCTGAGCTGCAAAGGTTGACTGATGCGCTGTTTGCCCAATATCTATGTTTTTATACTTGATTTCATTTTTCTCAAAGAAAGAAAATATTTTTAGGCGCTACCATAAATGGTTGAATCTATTATTATTTCCTTGGCAACATTGAATATGTAACATACCAGATTAGGCAGTTGCCAAATCACAGTCCATATGCGAAGATGCATTGATTCGAATGGTCCGGATATTATCTAACTCGGCGACCAGCATATTTAAATAATCTTCGTACGCCATTGCCAACGTTGAACGCTGCATTTAATGAAATATTAATAGGTAAAGTTTCGCTTCGAATGACAAAGCTTGGCCAATAGAAAGAAAGTAATTTGTATGCATAGAAATCCAAACACACTCGTCCGAACTTGAATGAAACGATCTGCATTTATTATTATCCAGTGGTGGACTTAGGTAAACTTTTGAAAGCGGGATAACTTTTCGAGGGGAGGGCATTTCTGGTAGATTAAAAAGGTGTACTGATCTAGAATCTACATGCTTAGTCCCAGCTTTCTAGATCTTATAGTTTTGCTAGTTCGACTCGTCTAGTGATCCTGATCAAGAATATATATAAAAAATATACTCGTAAGAATTCGCAGAATTTGTTCGCGAGATATTTTTGATTAAAAAGGTGGAGCAAAAATTTTATTTTATTTATTTGATTGTTTTTATCCCAGCGCTACAAGCATGTAGCATACTTATAAATTAAGGCGCTAGTCACATTAATTAAGAAACCTATTACATTTTTTTGTGTATCAGCATTGTCAGAGGAAAGATTTGTCGGAAACCAAGTCAGATAAATGTATACACGTATTAATTGGATCTTTAGGAACAGTTTTTGGTACATTGTGTTTTACTCTATTGCGTCTTATGAAAGTGGTGCCATCATATTTCCAACAGTACCTTGCAGGGTATAGTGACATACATTTTGACGGGTATGAAGACTTAATTTTTTGTGCTAGTAAGCTAGTAAGCACTAGGCGTAGTCGAGGACTAGACTATTATATACATAATCCGTGTTAAGCCCCAAAAAGGTCGTCATTTTTCCTGTCGGGAGTCCGACCCAAATGCGGTATTGCGGACGATCGTTTTAACTTCTAGAAGGCACTAATTAATGGCTTCCGCGATACAAAATGCTTGCAGGGCTTTAGTTAATACACCACTTGAATTTTACAAATCCCCAATCGAATGTTTATATATTTATTGATATTAGCTTTTCCGCCACGACTTTGTCCGCGTTTAGGAAACTGTTCTTAAAAGTGGTAGGAAAGATCTTGGCAGCATTTTGTCTCCAAAATGCCATTTGTGGCATATTGTGTATAAAATTAATTCAAATAAAACCACCTCTTAACGAGGTAAGGGTTCAAGAAAATCGAACCTTCAATTTACAAAAGTTCTGATATCAATTTTGTGACAAAAAATGCTTGTTAATTCCAGTAAATAAATACATTGCTTTCATTCTGCCCGATTTGGCAAAATAATTAAGCTTCTAGCGTACAACGGCATATTCTATTGCAGCGTGCCGAACCAAAACATTTTTGAATGTGTTTTGTATGTATATATAAGCATTTTTCGTCACAATATAGGATATCAGAACTTTTGTATGTTGAAGGTGCGATCGTCACGACCCCTTACCTCGTTAAAAGGTGTTTTTATTTGATATCAGGGTTTTCGGGTTAAAAGTCAATTATATAATAGGAGTTATGTTCACTTTTGCTGTAATGCTCATATATGAGCTATTGTAATAGCATTAAGATCAATATTTAAGAATCTATTTCCGTTGGCACTTATATGTAGAAACATTTTTTCTACGAATTTAAATAAAGTATTTAAAGTTAGACATCGGAGTTTAACGTACAAAATTTTTCGGGCCTTTTATAATTTACTTATTAGTAAAAGTTTTAGTCGCTGACAAACTTGTAAATGTTATTCTGTTACTTAAAAGATATCCCTAAAAAATGATTTGTCATTAAATTAATGATGCATAGTTTTGGGCATTCAAGGTAAGCATAAAATGTTTTTCATACTGATTTGAATCGGGTTGAACTTTTTATCCCTTTATTACATCCAAGCCTTCACTTTTATGACAAACAAGGAAAAACGCTATAGTCGAGTACCTCGACTATCAGATACCCGTTACTCAGCTAAAGGGACAAAAAGGAAAGGGAGATGTGCAAGCATCAACCGAGATTGTAATGCGCCACCTACCCGCTAACTCAATACATGGTTATGTGGGCGGCAGACAGATTTAAGGGTTATGGGCGTTAGAGTGGGCGTGGCAAACTTTTTTTGGGTCAATCGATAGGCGCCACAGGCTTGGGCGAACTCTTTAATGAGTTCATGATAATGATGATGATGAACTCTTTAAGAGTTTATTTGTACGATTTTTTGAAGCTAATGTGCGGTTTTGAGTCAATCGATAGGTATAGACGAAACTAGTACATTTAAGTTAAAAAATTTTTTCTAGCATGAAAATTGTGTGCGCCACAGGTTTGGGCGGCTTGTGGGCGTTAGAGTGGGCGTGACATACTTGCGTAACAAACTTGCGCTGCGTAAAAGGCTAGGAAATCTAAATCTGAAATCCTAATCCTCTATCTTACGGAGTTTCCGATATATCCGCGTTCATATGTACGATTTTTTGAAGTTTGCATATCTCCATCTCCACTTGGTCCCTTTAGATGAGTAACGGGTATCTGATAGTCGAGGTACTCGAATATAGACTTTTCTCTTGTTTTCTTTTGTTTTGTAAAAATGCGTATGCCGACTAGTGAATGTATGTGATTATTTTAAACTTAGGATTTCTTCAATTAGAAATCTTTACATCAGTAACAATTTATAATTCCAGTGCTTCGACAGCTACTACAAAGGAGTGCCTGCAAAGAAGTGAAATAACTATTAACATATATATTTATTTATTTAAAAAAGTCTCCTTCATTGCTTTGGACAATCCTGCAAACAATTATACTACCCTGCGCAACGGCCTAAAAATCATTCGTATTCATAAAATACGGTTAGGTACGAGGTAAAAGCTGTCCTACAGCAATTTTTCGAAAAAAAGCTATTTTTGGCTAAACGTCAGCAGTGGTTTACCGTCTTAGACAAATAAAAAGAAAACAGGTTCACTATATAACTTAATATACAGTGATCGCTCCATGCATTAAACTTATCACATTTTCTTTGTAGTGTTAGTATAATCAAAAGTTAAAAACTGGATTTTTAAATAACTTGAACGACAAGTAAGCTCCTTTAAACTTGTTAATAAATAAGTGATTTAAGTTCCCAATAGGAAATTATCACAATGTCGACTGTCGCTTAAAAAGCACGTCTAAAGTTAATACTTATTATCACTATGAATTAAATATTTTTACAACTGCGCCGAGCAATTTTTTGAATGAAGGGTATCTAAAAATGGCTGTTAGTCCTCAGTTTTACTTGTGCTTTGTTAGTTATAGTAAGTTAGTAATAAATATCAACACCTCAGTTCGTTGTTTTGCTTTTAATTATGAATGGTTGATGGTTGTGAGCTATGTATAAAAAAGACGTGTGCTTCAGGCGCGATAGTCATTCTTTTGACGTTTGCGATAGAATGAACACAATCTGCGTAAGTTTGTTTTATTTAAAGGAAGAAAAGTTTTAAATTTCCGAACTGTGCTTTCAGGTGTTAATGTTGTTCGTTCTGCTGGCAATAGGAGTAGCAGCTCTGCCTCCTTTTCCAGGCAACGATCCTACCGTATCTATTCTGTCCTACAAAAATGACCAGGACTTGGAAAAAATTCAGCGGGAGATCATAGCGCAATACGAAAGGTTTGGAGGAACCACCTATGTGCACAAGCCACTGACGGCCAGAATTATTAACCCAGCCAGCATAGGGACTAACATTTAATACTCCCCGAAAATAAATCGTTAATTTTTGTGAATTGTATACCTCAGCTGATAAAGCTTGCTACTTGGGATTTACCGAACGCGAAAAGCTTTAGTCTGCTCGCGACACTCGGCGCGTTCAAAGAGCCTTCGAGATGAATCGTACTGTGTGTCAGTGCTTGATATCAATTTTCGCTCTCTGCTGCTTGACCTCCACTCACTCCCAGAGCCCACCACTCCTTCCACCACCGCCAGGCCGAGCTTCCCCTCTCAAAAGATCAGCGATTCCCTTACCTGTTGACCGCGACATACTCTTCCCGGATGCTGGGTCAAGCCAGACAAGGGAAAAGATGCGGTTTCGCATAACCGACTTTCAGTTTGACCATGTGGAGATCTTGCCCCTGGCAAAGCCCAAGCAGCGCACCCCGCCTCCAAGGCCAGGCCAGCCCTTTCCACCGCCCCCAGGGGGCTTCAAAAATAAAAAAAACAAGCAACGCCGCATCTGTGAGCAGAGTAAGTTATTCGACCTGTGCGTCCGTGAGTTATTGCCCGAGTTTGTCCCCAAGAATACTCCGAGTACGTAGAGCGCATCTTTCCTAACGACACTGCCGTGGCCGCTGATGCCAATGACGCAGAGTTTGATGGTCGAATACTAGCCAGGCCCGGTGAATACCCGCATATGGTACGGACAAAGCTACGTGCCACTGTTGACGGCCTAACCCAAACCCGTCGAATCTGTTTTCACAGGCAGCCGTAGGCTTCGAGGCTGAGACAGGTCGAGTCGAGTACAAATGTGGCGGCAGCCTGATAAGCGAGAACTTCGTGCTTACCGCCGCCCATTGCACTTCTATATATAGGTGAGCATTCTAGTTAAACCCCTGACCCCAAATGACTGTGCTTTTTTATTAGGACGGCCCCCAAGTGGGTGCGCGTTGGAGACCTTAACCTTGTCGTCGAGGAGCGTTCAATTAAGGCCCAACTGGTTCGGATAAAGAAAGTATTGACGCACCCCAATTACAACAAGGAGATGTACTACGACGACATAGCACTGCTTAAGCTTGAAAGGGATCTAGAGTGAGTGTTCCTCAAAATAGTCTTAATGGCCGCTTTAATTTTAACGCGTTTCTCATAGACTAACGGAATATGTCAGACCAATACGATTGTGGGTCTTTCCAGAGCTACCTACGACGATTGCCTTTGCAATGGGATATGGGGCCACGAGCTTCGCCAAGGCCATGACGAACCAACTGACCAATCTTAACCTGACCATAGTTCCAAACGATGAGTGCAATAACGAGCTACCATTAATTGCGGAGACACCCGACGGAGTTCTGGAAAGCCAAATCTGTGCCCAGGACTATATCCTTAACAGAGACACCTGTCAGGGAGATTCGGGGGGACCGCTGCAACTGAATCTGCCGGGACGCCGTCGTCGGCACAGAATACACTATCACCTAATAGGCGTTACCTCTTACGGTGTGTTTTGCCGCAGTAGTTATCCATCAGTATACACCCGAGTTTCTTCTTACCTAGATTGGATTGAACTTAATGTGTGGACTTGACACGCACTGACGTGTTACACAGTAATACCTAATCCAACATCCTACTGAACTGTTTAAATTTTGGTCAGATGTAAAACACCTAGCCCCAAAGATCCCTGTTCACAAAAAAAGAAACTAGACTGTTTAACTGGCTCCTTAGCTAAGTATCTTGCATAAACTTTTCCAGATAAGTCCTCCCATCTTAAAATGAAATGTTAAATCGTACATAATCGACTGAGACATCACCATCACGTACAATGTATAACAACGAATAAAAACAAAGACGCAGTTACATACATATGTAAATTGAGCTATTGGCGTGAGCTTCCATTTTCCTAATAATTTTTGTCATCGTTGATTACGTTATAGGTCCAGTATTCAACCTACCAAAAAGAACCTCATAAAAAAAACAACACAACAATTTTAGTAAAAACAAGGAAGAACGCTATAGTCGAGTACCTCGACTATCAGATACCCGTTACTCAGCTAAATAGGATATGCAAGTAGCAAAGCGAGATTAAAATGCGCCACCTACCGGCGGTATACAGATTTAAGCGTTATGGGCGTTAGAGTGGCGTGGCAAATTTTTTTTTGGACCAATCGATAGGTATTGACAAGACCAATACATTTCAGTTAAATTTGTTTATCTAGCATGAAAATTGTGGGCGTCACAGGTTTTCGCGGTTGTGGGCGGTAAAGTGGGCCTGGAAAACTTTTTTTGGACCAATCGATAGGTATTGATGAGAACAATACATTTCAGTTAAAATTTTTTATCTAGCATGAAAATTGTGGGCGACACAGGTTTTCGCGGTTTGTGGGCGTTAAAGTGGGCGTGGCAAACTTTTTTTTGGGTCAATCGATAGGTATTGATGAGAACAATACATTTCAGTTAAAATTTTCTATCTAGCATCAAAACTGTATGAGCCACAGTTTTGGGCGGTTTGTGGGCGTTAGAGTGGGCGTGGCACTCTACTGAAACAAACTTGCGCTGCGCAGGAATCTCAGGAATCTGCGTGCCTAATCCCAGTATTGTAACTCTCATAGTTTCCGAGATCTCAGCGTTCATACGGACAGACGGACAGACGGACAGACGGACAGACGGACAGACGGACAGACGGACAGACGGACAGACGGACATGGCTAGATCGACTCGGCTAGTGATCCTGATCAAGAATATATATACTTTATGGGGTCGGAAACGCTTCCTTCTGCCTGTTACATACTTTCCGACGAATCTAGTATACCCTTTTACTCTACGAGTAACGGGTATAAACATTTTGATTGAGCTCTTTGAACGGCAGTGTTCATGCCTCACAAAAAAATATACTAAATTAAAGCTCAATGAATGAGTAATTTCATTAATTTCTTGATCTACCGATTATTTTAATAATGGTCGACAACCTGGTGTCAGGGTGTCACAAAAATGTCTTCGGGAAAAATACAGGGAAAATGTGAAAATTCGCCAACGAAATTTCTGTGACACCCTGTTTATGTCAAATTCCAAAATGAGTTTCGTAACGACGGAAGCGTATTTAAGGGTTCTTAACTGATGAGGAAACGTGCGTTCAACAAGGTCGAGGTCACATCATATTATCTTCATCGTTGATAATTACACTCACAATATAATTATCTCGTAACGCTGACAGTTAATTAATATTTTGAACCGCAACAGTAAATATTTATTTACCTACACGTAAATTTTCTGTTGTGGCGTGCCGAATACATAAATTGAATATAGTTTATTTATTTTATTGAATGTAATATCATTTTTCGTCACAATTGTTGAAATCAGAAATTTTTGTTAAAGAGGTGTTTTTGTTTGATATCACAAGTTTTTTTTGCACAAGAGTTTAAGTACCCCAATACCATGACTAGGAGTCGTCCCCATGAATATTAAACTTTTTAATAACAAGTTTTATCGCTTCAATTACCTATTTTAATAGCACAAGTTTGGAATCTCAAGGGCTGTATAGTTTCAGATTCCAAGAGAAACCTGTCGTTTCTTATATTTCCCGCCGAACTAGCGGGTTATTCCAAAGTGGTAGAAGAAATAGATCAAGTTTCCTATTTCGATTAGCTTCATGCAAGTAAAGGACCCTAAAACCATAACAGATTTTCCGTTTGAAAAAATCTAATAAGAATATTTTTCATCAAATTGTTTTTTTTCTTGTTTATTCCAATAATAAACGAGTTGCACTTTTATCGCTTAATATCTTCCCGGCAAAAAGTGTTATATATCAAAAGTTGAGGAATCTCAAGGGCTATACGATCTAAAATTTAAAAAGAAATCGTTCGACTCAATTTTGAGAAAATAGTCAAAAAGTGGTTTTAAAAAATAACTTTTTGTCATAACTCGAAATCTATTACATTTAGACAACTTTACTATTTCTGTAGCATTAGTTGTTTAGATATTATAGGCATTTTAAATCTGCCTTTTTTTTGGATTTTCCGCTAAACTAGCGAATTTTTCCAAAAGTCGTAGAACAAACGTTTTCTAATTCGAGCTACTTTATACACCCATAGGGTTTCCAAAACCCTAAAACTAATATGGGATGCATACAAACCCACAAACAAAGGCACAAACATTTTCATTTTGGGAAGAAGAAGAAAATCTTGTTTTTTGAACGGGACATCGGACTTCAAATGAGGTGTCATTCGACGCGTATTCTCAGTAAGAATAAAACTAGCTAAACGGCCGGCGGCTTTTATCCCCACCGTATCCAGCAGCTCCAATTTTCTGAATTTTTTCTTTGGACGTTGATGCACTATGGTCAGTACAAACAAGTGGCCCTACGACACCAAGCAAAGCTTGTTACGCGCGGAGCCCATCACCGTTTTGGGCGAGTAAACATAATCGCGGACAAAGAAAAAGACAATGTAACAATAGACAATTAAAAATACAGGTCAATATACGAATAGACAAAATACATCAAGTAAAACTAATTAGTTACTAGGGAGGATAGTATTATTGATTTAAAGATAGGAAGTGAGTCAGTAGTAGATATTAGATGATATAGTCTATTATAATCATTGCAAAGTACTCTAAAAGGTTCATGCATTGCGTAATTAGAGATACAGTGATTTAATACTAAAGGAATATAGTTTCTAGTGAATCTATTTGGCACATTAAAATGCAGGCGACCCAGTAACTTTCACCGCTTTTTCTCCCAAACAAATCTATATTTCGAAAGTCTTGGTGTGCAATCTTCTTAGTTAGTGCGATACCTTTCGATTGGTGTATCACTCGTTACGATCGGACCATAATGGAAGATTTTCAATTCTGCGGCTATATATACATAGTAGTTGTCTTCGCACGCTCTCTTGCGCGATTCGCCACTACGTGTACTGCCGTCCACTGTGATAAGCTTAGGAAGAGACAACTATATCACTGTAGACGGCAGTCCTCGTAGTGACGAAGAGCACAAGGCAAGTGTGCGAAGGGGACTTTATATATAAACGATGAAATGAAAATTAACTGTGGTCGTCCGATCGATACGAATGATACATCAGTCGAAAGCAT